CACTCACGTGTTGGCAGGAGGTTTCAGTTCCTCTCCATAGAGCTGCTAGATGTGTCCTTGTGACACAGCAGCTGCTTCCTCCAGGTGGAATGGACCAAGAAAGAGAGCAAGCAAGAAGCCACAATGCTTTTTACAGCCTAGTATTTGACTGTACATTGTCACTTAATTTTTTTTTTTTATTTGTTAGGTGCAAGTCACTTAAGTCCAACTCTCCCTAAAGGGTAGATGACTTAGGTAGCATGTTTTGAGGGGAGAATCAGATAATTTGTGAGGGTATTTTATTCTTTTTTTTTTTTGAGATGGAGTTTCACTCTGTTGGCCAGGCTGGAATGCAATGGCACAATCTCAGCTTACTGCAACCTTTGCCTCCTGGGTTCAAGCAATTCTCTTGCCTCAGCCTCCCGAGTAGCTGGGATTACAGGCACCAACCACCACGCCCAGCTAATTTTTGTTTCAGTAGAGATGGGGTTTCACCATGTTGGCCAGGGTGGTCTTGAACTTCTGACCTCAGGCGATCTGCCCACCTCGGCCTTCCAAAGTGTGGGGATTACAGGCGTGAGCCAGCACGCCTGGTCTGTATATGATCTTGAACCACATGTTTTGAAATATTTATATACTGGAATGGCTCAATCAAGCTAATTAACATATGTATTGCCTTCTATACATTTTATTTTTGTGGTGAGAGCTGTTAAAATCTACTCTCAGGCCGGACGAAGTGGCTCACGTATGTAATCCCAGCACTTTGGGAGGCCGAGGCAGGTGAATCACGAGGTCAGGAGTTCAAGACCAGCCTGACCAACATGGTGAAACCTCGTCTCTACTAAAAATACAAAAATTAGCCAGGCATGGTGCTGGGTGCCTGTAATCCCAGCTACTTGGGAGGCTGAGGCAGGACAATTGCTTGAACCCGGGAGGCGGAGCTTGCGGTTAGCCGAGATCGTGCCATTGCAGTCCAGCCTGGGCCGCAGAGCGAGACTCTGTCCCCGCCCACCCCCTCAAAAAAAAACTACTCTCTTTGAGATGGAGTTTCGCTCTGTCACCCAAGGTAGAGTACACCCAAGTGATCTCAGCTCAATGCAACCTCCCCTTCCCGGGTTCAAGTGATTCTTGTGCCTCCTCCTCCCAAGTAGCTGGGACTACAGTTGCGCACCACTATGCCTGGTTAATTTTTTAAATTTTTTGTAGAGATGAGATTTCGCCATGTTGACCAGGCTGGTCTCCAACTCGTGGGCTCAAAGATTTACCTGCCTTAGCCTCCCAAGGTTCTGAGATTATAGGTGTGTGCCACTCCACCTGGCCAAGAATTTTATTTTACATAACCACGTGTAACATTGATATAATACTTTTATCTTCAGTTTTACCAAGAGTCCAATAATGTCCTTTATAGAATTTTTTTTCCTTCAATACAGGATTCAGTCTGGGTGCATTTATTTTTTTGTTTTTTGAGATGGAGTTTCCTTCTTTTTGCCCAGGCTGGAGTGCAATGAGTGCAATGGCAGCATCTCGGCTCACTGCAACCTCTGGCTCCTGGGTTCAAGTGATTCTCTTGCCTCAGCCTCTTGGGTAGCTGGGATTACAGCCATGTGCCACCACACCCAGCTAATTTTGTGTTTGTAGTAGAGAGGGGGTTTCTCCAATTTGTTCAGGCTGGTCTCAAACTCCTGACCTCAAGTGATCCACTCGCCTCGGCCTCCCAAAGTGCTGGGATTACAGCCGTGAGCCACCACGCCCAGCCACATTTCTTTTTTTTTTTTTTTTTTTTTTTTTTTGTTACCCAGGCTGGAGTGCAATGGCGTGGTCTCGGCTCACTGTAACCTCCGCCTCCTGGGTTCAGGCAATTCTCCTGCCTCAGCCTCCTGAGTAGCTGGGATTATAGGCATGTGCCACCATGCCCAGCTAATTTTTTGTATTTTTAGTAGAGACAGGGTTTCACCATGTTGACCAGGATGGTCTTGATCTCTTGACCTCGTGATCCACCTGCCTCAGCCTCCCAAAGTGCTGGGATTACAGGCGTGAGCCACCGCGCCCAGCCTTTTTTTTTCTTTTTTAAGTACATTCTGGAGGCCTAAGTCTGGGTGCATTTAAAATTTATTATTATTATTATTATTTTTTGAGACCCGGGCTAGGGTGCTCTGTCACCCAGGCTAGAGTGCAGTGGCACAATATTGGCTCATTGCAACTTCCACCTCTTGGGTTGAAGCCATCCTCCCACCACAGCCTCCCGAGTAGCTGGAATTACAGGCACATGCTACTAGGCCCGACTAATTTTTTTGTATTTTTAGTGAAGACAGGGTTTCACCATGTTTACAAGGCTGATCTTGAACTCCTGACCTCAAGCGATCCACCCTTCTCGGCCTCCCAACGTTCTGGGATTATAGGCGAGAGCCACCATGCCTGTCCTAAAATTTCGATACATATTACCAAATTTCTCTGTATAGACATTGTCCCAGTTTACATTTCTACTGGCAGTATATGAAACCTTGTGAGACCAGATGCTCATCCACATCATTTTTAATTAGAAGCTGCCTGATTTCAAACAGCCTTTTGCAAGCATAACCTTTACCTTGAGTAGCCTAACTCTGTTTTTCTGTGCATCTCTTTGGGTGCTTTGGTATTAGCAGTGGCTTCCTGGCTTGAGGAATTTTAGCTTCTCTTTAACCTGAGGTGGCTATTTTGTGTAAGATAATTTTGGCAGAGCTAGCATTGCTAATTTTGTCTTTTCTATTGGACTGGCTCTCCCAGAGGGCTGACACAACTCTCTTCTCTGTCAGTGGTAAACTGGATGTGTCAGAAATGTAGGAAAGTAACAGCTTATAAAATTTGGTGTTAGAAATATTGCACAGTTGTATGGTAAATGTGTAGTATCCTGAAGTCTCCATGTCTGATGAATGTGTTATTACGGCGTCCCCTTAAGCGTGTGAGAAAAATTATAAACTTGTTACCTTTTGAAAGAAATTTGCAGCTTGTGGGAGGCTATGCTTATACTCAAATGAACTCAGGCCTGCAGGGAGAGAATAATGGCAGTGAATTTTGATAGCACAGTATAGAAGGAAGCATCATAAGGGTTAAGAACTCAAGTTGCAGGTCTAGAGGCAGAAGAATTGCTTGAACTCCAGAGGCGGAGGTTGCAGTGAGCCGATATCGCACCAGGGCACTGCTGTCTGGGTGACAGAGTAAGACTTCATTAAAAAAAACAAAAACAAAAACAAAAAAAAAAACACTCAAGTTGCAAGTCTAGAGCTGTGTATTCTTTGGAAGTAATATAACTTCTTTTTTCTTTGAGACGGAGTCTCACTCTGTTGCTCAGGCTGGAGTGCAGTGGCATGATCTTGGCTCACTACAACCTCTGCTTCTAGGGTTCAAGTGATTATCATGCCTCAGCCTCCTGAGTAGTTGGAATTACAGGTGCGTGCCACTATGCCCAACTAATTTTTGTATTTTTCTTTAATTTTTTAAAAAAATTATTTATTTTATCTTTTTGAGATGGAGTTTTGCTCTTGTTGCCCATGCTGGAGTACGATCATGCAAATTCAGCTCACTGCAGCCTCCACCTCCCAGGTTCAAGCCTCAGACTCCTTAGTAGCTGGGACTACAGGTGTGCACCAATACGCCCAGCTAATTTTTGTATTTTTAGTAGAGACTGGGTTTTACAGTGTTGGCCAGGCTGGTCTTGAACTCCTGACCTCAGGTGATCCACCTGCCTTGGCCTTCCAAAATGCTGGGATTACAGGTGGGAGCCCGCCTGGCCTTATTTTCTATGTTTTAGTTTCTCCAGCCAGAAAATGGAGGTGACAATAATAGCACCTCTCTCATAGAGTTACAATGAAGGTTGAAGGCATTTATTCATATGAGGCACTGGGAATGGTGCTGATCTATAGTCAGCACTGTCTTTGTTGTTATCATCATGGTCTTTATACCTTAATAATTTTTTTTTTCCTTTCTGAATCTCCCTCTGCTGCCCAAGCTGGAGTGCAGTAGTACGATCTCAGCTCACTGCAACCTCTGCCTCCTGGGTTCCAGTGATTCTCCTGCCTCAGCCTTCCGAGTGGGTGGGATTACAGGTGTGCGCCACCACGTCCCACTAATTTTTTTGTATTTTTAGTAGAGATGGGGTTTCAGCATGTTGGCCAGGCTGGTCTCAAACTCCTGACCTCTAGTGATCCTCCCACCTCAACCTCCCAAAGTGCTGGGATTACAGGTGTGAGCCACTGCGCCCAGCCTCTATCTTAATGAGTTCTTAACATCAGCTAAGTGCTTTACATACATTGTTCTATTTAATCCTCAGACTAACTTTGTAAGGTACTTATCATCTTCTCCTTACAGATGAGGAAACAGGCTTGATTAACACTAATCTTAGTCATACATCTGGTTAGTGCAGAGTTAGGATTCAGTCCTAGGTGTGATCTGACATACAAACTTATATGCTTCGACCACCCTAGTTATTAAGATTGGGGGGGCTTAAATATAAAGAAGGCTGGAATAATCATCCTAGGAGGGGAAGTCTATAAGAGCAGTTCTTAAAACTTTTTGCTCTCAGGACCTCTTTATGCTAAAAAATTATTAAGGACTGTAAAGAGCTTTTGCTTATGTGGGCTATATCCATGATTAATTGCTATAATAGAAGTCAAAACTGAGATGTTTATTAATTCATTTGAAATTAAAATGTGTATTCATTTTTGTTGTTGTTGTTGAGACAGAATCTTGCTCTCTTGCCCAGGCTGGAATACAGTGGCATGATCTCGGCTCACTGCAACCTCCGCCTCCTGGGTTCAATTGATTTTCCTGCCTCAGCTTCCCTAGTAGCTGGGATTATAAGCATGAGCCACCAGGCCTGGCTAATTTTTGTGTTTTTAAGTAGAGACGGGGTTTCACCATGTTGGTCAGGCTGGTGACCAACATGACCCCAAGTGATCCACCTGCCTCAGCCTCCCAAAATGCTGGGATTACAGACATTATCCACCTCGCCCAACTCATTACAGGTGTCCATTTTTTTTTGTTAGTTTTTACTATTTTATTTTTGTGTACATATTTGTTTAAAATCAGTGATTTTCTTGGCCAGGTTCAGGTAAGTGAAGGGCCTTTATAAGTAGTTGATATTGTTTAGACCCAAGGTATGCTGAAAACACAGTCTGCAGCAGAATAGGAAATAACATCTTCCTAAAGACAGGCTTAGAAACTCTAAGCCAGTAACTTAAGATGTTCCCTTTGGTAACAGAGCTGTTTCATACCTGGCTGCTAGGCTACCATTTACAGGTAAAGCTAAGAAAATAGGGTATAGACCACCAGCAAGAAGACCAACCAGTCCACTACGTGTTGCGGTACAGGTTTCGCAATTCATATCACCTGTTATCAAAGGAATATCTACAAAACCTCTGTAAGTTATTTTTGTTGTAAAGAAAGGGATCACTGCCATTGGTAAGGTAGAAGCTATACGAGCCTTTGTCACATTCAAGACGCGTCGAAAAAGACTGTTTCCTATGAGGCCACAGAGAGCAGCATTTAATCCAACGTAAACTGATCCATTTTCAAGTAGATTCCTTTCTGCTTCTGGAAGCTGGTTAATTTTTCTGTTTATGATTTCAAAAATGTTTTCCTGGTTATTGGATTCATAATTTTCCATTTTGAGCCTTATGCTCTCCTCCCACTAGCCTGTGGGTGCCTCCTCAGGTCTTCCGCAGCCACCCCGGAGGTCACTACAGCTCTACTTGCCTGAGCGCAGCCATCTTTGGCTGACACGTGACTCGGCCTCAACCATTTTTAAGGGTACATTTCAGAGGCAAAGTACATTCACCTTGTTGTACAACCATCACTCCATCTATCTCCAGAACTCTTTGCATTTTTCCAAACTGAAGCTCTGTACCCTTGAAACAATAACCCCCATTCTTTCCTCCTCCCATCTTCTTTGCACCCTCCATTCTACTTTCTGTATCTATGATTTTGACTACTGTAGGTACCTCATATGAATATTAGTCCTTTATGACTGGCCTGTTGCACTTAGCATAATGTCCTGAAGGTTCTTCCATGTTGTAGCATATGTCAGAATTCCCTTTCTTTTTATAGCTGAATAATATTGGATTGTGTGGAGTGTGCCACATTTGGTTTATCCATTCATTGGCTGATGAATAGTTGGGTTGCTTATTTGTATGCTTTTGTCCCCATTTACTTTTCTCATATTTATACTTTCATATTTACTATCACATTTTTGGCAGGTACCGCTTAAATCTAAATCAAGATGAAATAAAACAAGAAGTAGAGGACTACCTTCCTGCATTTTGTAAATGGGCAGGAGATTATATGCATAAGAACAGTTCAACTGACTTCCCTCAGATGCAGCTCTCTCTGTAAGAAACACATTTTGTTTATATAGTCTTCATATTTTTAGACCAGGATGCTATTCTGGGTGTTGAATCAAAGCTTTTAAAAGATTGAGCATTACAATTAGCCTTTTTACTTGCTTATTTTATAAATTACGGTCCTAAGTATCTTTCCATGACAAAAAAGAACCCAGTGAACAGAAAATTTTATTTTCATTATTAAAGATAGCCTGTTTTTTTTTTTTTTTTTTTTTTTTTTTTTTTTTTTTTTTTTTTTTTTTTTTTTTTTTTTTT